GGAGTCAATCTTGAATGGGTGTTTTTTTGGCTTTTTTTTTCTCAGTCCCAAGAGGAATTCTATATTGAAATATTACATCACAACATGACTGCACGCCTAATGTGTGGCTCACAGTTGCAGCGCAATCCCCATGACCACAATGGGCAAGTTAAATTTGCAGTATTTGCAGCAAAAGCATCATTGCCACTTGCAGGTGGGTGTTTGGGAAGGGGGGTGTTGATTACCATATGCTGGCAGTCAGCCTATCGGAGCACACTGAAATCAATGTGAGAAGCCTAGCGAGAGTTTAAATCTTGCAATAAAGTATTACAATCCCCAGTACAGCCATGGCCTTAAAAAAACAAAAAAAAACAACACACATTTTTCCAACAGTAAGAGCGTAAAGAAATCCAGAAAAATACATTGCATAGAAATTATTCTGGTTCTCAACCCATTTTATAAATATCCCTCAATATATCTCAGAGTGTAGGAACATGCAACATCAAAGAAATAAACAAAAGACAAAGCATTTATTTTTAAGATTTTTATTGTAAGTGTAATGAATATTTTCTTCATATTGCTTTAATGAAATGACATACAGCAGTTGCAGATATTCTCATTGCTGATAAAAAACAAAAAAACTCAACAGTATTTACAAAAACTGCTAAAGATAGCAATTGTGAAAGAGGTTTGATAGTTACAAGCCGTGTCAATAAATACCCAGGGCAAATAGACAACACAGATGAAACAAAATACAATCTTATGCATGGCTTTTGGCACAAAACAAATAAATTAAATGCACATAGTATGAAGGCAGGATATTTAATTTACCTTAAATTATATATGTAATGCAAAAGTAACCCAGGAATGTTGTAACAAAAAAAATTAGTGCCAATAAATACAGTGAGTACCAGATCATTCTTGTCAGTATGTTAGAGACCGAGTAAAACCCATGAATGCCTGCTAAAACTAAAGTTTTAATATGCTGTCAAGACCGGCCTGTCAATACTGGAGTTATCTACATTTTAGCAGGAATGTTTTAACACTTGAAATACTAAGCGACATTATTAAATGCCGGAGTGGTAGAACAGGCCTTTGCAAAACCATGTTCCCATAGTGTTTCACAATACCATTAGAACAGTGCACCCCTTCAGTTTGGCTTCGAACTAGACAGCATATTTAAAGACAGTAACCGATTGGCTCATTAGACAAATTCAAAAACGCAATGGGCAAGTATACATAGTAACTCATAGCAATCACTAGTTTATTTGGATCAGTTTAGAGCAGTTGGTACAATAAAAAAAAAAAAATGACCTTCAGTTGGCCATTGTTTTATTACGCAAAGGTCATTGATGAAGAGTAACATTGCACTCATCACATACACAAAGCCAAGAGCCATCTTGTGAGAAGGATTAGTTGTCAAAACAAGCTGCGAAAACTAGTCCACAGCATTCACAATACAGACCTCCACCGTGTGTCCATGACAGGTGCACTTTAAAGGAGCTTTCAATGTTTAGTGTAAGCCCAGCAAGGCTTCAGACAATTTACATAGCATCTATGGTAAACCAAACAATGCGAATGAGTCTATAGGATGGACAAAGCAGCCAATCAAAATGTACTTTTATTAGCTGCCCATGCTTGACTGTTAAAAGCTGGATATCTGCTGGCTGATATGATCACTGTATGTCACAGCTCTGACTTGTATAAGCACAGTAAAGTTCTTTTTACCTATATATTCAAGACATAGCTAAACTCTAATGAAGCAAGTATTTGCGCAAAAACCCTCCTTCTCCCAGATTGTGGTTTATTCTGTTTTTTTGGGCAGTGATTAAAAAGGCATGATGTTTCAATGTGTACTTACTAAGAACTGGAGTTATTTTCCCACATTCACCAATGAGATTAAGATTTTCAGGGCAGAATTAATCTAATTGGTGGTCTTGGGGGGAACAGATGCCCTATGTAAGAAATGGTCACTGCTCCAGAACTAGCAGGACCAAAAGCAATGAAAAGCTTCTTCCATTCAAAGTCTTTGCTTTACATAGCATATTATTACACATGGCCAGGTCTGGCATATGTGAATAATGTAAATCCTTTAGCTTCTTGATGGGCTGAAGCAAGCTGGTACTGGCAGTTTCTGACCAAATGTATTGGTTTAGTGAAAAGATGAAGCACATTTTTTACATGCTGTACATGAAAGGACACATTGGTACAAACATAACACCGGCATACAAAAGTAGTGCAGGCAAAGGCACTTGTGTGTATCACTTGAATAAGAACCATGTCTAAATACTATTTCACCACAATTAAACTTTGGGCCTGATGTATCCAAGTGTCTCTACTAAGAATCAAGTTACTTCCCATCAGGCACAAGCCAGGCTCAAAAGCTTTCACTGCTGTTTGGACTGTTGGGAAATAATTCTATCCTGAATAATGACACTTTTATACAATCTGGACCTTATGGTTTATCTAGTAACAAGAAGCATTTGTTGCAGTAGGCGACACTAAATCAGCCTTTGCTGGACTAATATCATGGCAGTCAAAATCATGTTGGCGTCTTGCCTTAGGGCAGGGGTCTCTAAACTTTCTGAACAGAGGATTAGTTTACGGTCTTTCAGGATTTGGGAGGGAGGGGCAGATTGTGGCCAGTGGTAGTAGAAAATGTGCCCCATCAACATTTCCCAATAATTGGTGTCAGCTAGAAGACTAGTGCCCCAAGGGCCAAATACAGGCAAGCAAAAGGGCCACAGTTTGGAGACCACTGCCTTAGAGCACACTTACTCCAGGTTACTAGGCAAACCTCAACATTTACATTTGGCACACTGCTCAGGCTGTAGGAAATAAAAGCAAAACATCACTGCCTCAATGCTGTATTACCCACCTAACAATGGCTCATTACTCAACATGTGCAAACTTTTTTTTTTTTTTTAGAAAATGCAACCAAGATAAGGAATCACCTTGTGCGTGAATGGAACAATGCCTTAATGCCAAAATGGGATTCCTGAGCTCTGACAAAATGTTTTAATTACAAAAAAGGTCTGAATTAAAATAAGGAGCGTAGTTGCACTTTCAATTTGGTTATCTTCCAATACTGCCCTGCTAAGCAGGACATTGTTCACAGTAGCCAATTAGGTCACAAAATAGGAAAAAAAAAAAAATATATATATAGTCTACAAACTGGTAACTTTAGCGAGCTGGACGGTCAAAGTATTAGGATGGTTTGTAAATTCCTTGCGATAGTTTTTCACAGCACTAGATAACCTTTAGAGTACAGTCAAAAAAGAAATACAAAGCAGAGTTACATAGTTCTTGGTCTCTGGCCCTATTGAAACATGTTTTATAATTTAAAAATATATAAAACACACTTTTATTACTTAATCATCCCATAAATGTTCATTTTAATTAACACTCTTACTTAAATATCTGCATTTAAAGCTTAAATATTGTTATATTTCATTTAAATACAAGTGGATTGTAGAAACAAAAAAAAAAAAAAAAATCCATTTGACAATGTATTTAAATGACTGAAATAAATAACTTTGTTTTACATAACACATAACCTATATTTAAAAGAAATAATATATATAAATAGCCTGGGTCATATATTACTGTGGAATATAAAATGAGTCCACCTAAAAATCATGGCAATTTAAATTTTTCTTCTATTCCGGCTCTGTAGTTATTTTACTATTGCAGTGACTTTGCCAAGTTGGTGGATTTCTTGGCATGAACATCCAACCAACTGCATAGAATTGTATGGCCTTATCCCTAGAAGCTTCAAATAAATATGAATAATTTATGGTAAGATTAAATAACTGAAATCAAACATATAGGAAAAAAATTATATTATATGGCTTGTAAGTGGAACTCAATACTGGGACAAAACTTGAAAACTACGAAGATATTTTTGACCAAAGAAAAAAATAAAAAATGGAACCGCCCCACTAAATCCTTGTGCTTGTTGATGTTGTCAGTGGCATTTATCAATGGCAACTCCACATAGTGGAATTGATGTATGGGAGCACTGGAAAGCAAGTGCAAGGTACATAACACATTCAGCTTCACATACCTACGTATAAAACGTCCCTGCATCTTAGTCCCAGCCTTCCTCTTTCAAGGTGTTTGAAAGATGCTCATAAAACTTTGCTGAAATCAGGTAAAAAAAAAACCAGCTAAAAAAGGAAGGCACAGACTTGCACGTCACAGAAGTGGTCTGGACCAGGAACATGAGCATTGTGGTGCCATGTGCACATTAAAGTCACATGTCTCTTTATCAATCTGCTCTATATAGTGGACATATCTTGATAAATGACTGCTGCTGTGATATTGCACTTTTACAATGCACAGAACTAAGGGGGGGTGTAAGAACTGAACACTTGTACAGAAATCAGAAAATATTAGGCTATAAATAATGCAGATATATTATGGAAAAAAATATGATTGTACTCATAATACATCTGAGGTATTTCCAATTTAAATAAAAAACTCTTGCTAGTTCAAGCTTCAGACTCATTCCTGGAATTTGCAATAAATAAAACAGCTCTATATAAAGTCTGTGTTTTTTTTTCTCCATTTTTCCTTGTTTTCTGTAAACCCGAGTAGTGCACACTACTTCTGCAAATATTTCTCAATTTTACAATAAATACATGAATAAAGTTTATCTTAAAAGCACTGAACAGATGGAAGTTTTTGCACTCCCATCCATAAAATAGTTGTTCACAGGTCTACAAACAAATCACAATTCTTCAGGTTTATATACAAGCAACTTCTAAAAAAAAAAAAAAAAAAAAAAAAAAAAAAAAAAAAAAAAAAAAAAAAAAAAAAAAAAAAAAGAATATATGTATATATTAGTTCAAAATCGATGTGTAGTAAACAGTTTACTGTGGCAGTATTCCAAAATGTGTATTCCCCAATATAAAGACCAAAAATATTTGTATCCATGTAAAAACATAGAAACATTTCAAATTTTTCATTGTAGTAATGTCTCTGCAATATGCCACAGATGGGATTCAGTAATCCACTGTTTACGCTATAAGCGATTCAAAAGGAGATGGCGATTTTTAAGGCATCTTCTAAATATTGATTGTCACCAGAGGATTCCGAGGAGCTAATCAAAGATTCTAAGAAGCTTGCAGTTGCGTCTGTCGCTGGTGGAAATCCAGGAAAGAATGTTAATAGACACTGCTGAGAACACAAATTATCATATTCGCTTAACGAATTGTAAAGAGGTCCAAAATTGAAATCTGGTTCATCAGGCAAGTCAAAATTTTCTGAAGAAAGGCTGATATCCATATAGTTTTTTAAGAGTGGCTCTCCTTGTGTCACAGTAGAATCAGTAGAGACGGCCACAGATACCCCATTGTTCGAAAAGCAATCTGCGCCTTGGTTTGCGTTTTCATCTACACATTTTGTAACGTTCGATAAGGTGTTTGAATACACCTCACTATTGGATTTTTCTGAACTAGAAAGGGACTCGTAAACCTTGTCACAGAAAAAATCCGTGCTATGAAAAAAACTTAAGTTGTCCTGGCAGTCACTGCTGTTTTCCTCGTACTCTGAATCATTGAAATGAAGAATCCTAGCAAGATAGTCTTCCTCCAAGTCTGACTGGGATTTATCAGATGAAGAGGCAAGTTCATAAGGACCTTCAGAGACTTCACTCTGAGAAGAGGAACTTGAACTGTCTGTGGTGTCACTACTACAACTGTTCTCATTTGCTGGTTCCAAGTCTACATTGAAATGATAAGGGGATGACGTTGGGGAATTAGAGGCGGAGGAACTGGTGGATGTGGTGGTAGGAACAGTCCTGTCATCATCTTCTTCTTCTTCACTGTCCTCAAGTGATGAACACCCAAAGGAATCAAATTGTTCACTGCAGGTTACGTCGGTCTCATCGTGTCTTTCATTATTTTGATTCTTTTCCTCAAGCTCAAGCTTCATAACCGTATGGATAAAATGGGTCTGCACACGGGATGAATTGAATTCTACTCTTCCATTTGGGTTTCCACAACCATCCTTTGTACATCCACATGGAAAAGTGGAATGATCCCTCTGAAATGATAAAAAAGCACATGTTCCTTTACTGAATGATTCAAAACGGTTTCAGTACAAAAATAAGGCTGCTAAAACTTACAAACCCACCTATGAGGGCCAACAAAGTAGACATATCCCAGTATATGAAATGATTTCTCCCTTGGCACACAGTTTTGGTATATTGCCCAAAATGATACAGCACATAACCCCATTCCAACTGTTGTTGGCTGTTTAATTTAGGCTCAGGAAGAGAAAATGGTATCTCCTAAAGCTAACATTTTAAATATATAACATCAAAAATGTATAAGAAACAAAATACTTCTTTGAACAAAATGTACACAGTCAAGTGCAGTGCAAAGGCCGTCTTTAAAAAAAAACAAAAAACTGTGATTTTGGTGTGAGAACAATTTTTGCAAGCCCATACTAACCTGACATTTAATTCCTGCCAAGTAACAGCTGCAAGTTTCTGGATCACAGAAATCCTGGCAATCACACCCGCATTGTTCTCGTGACTTCCGGATTTCATTAAGCTCATACTTTTCCGTTTTGTCAATCTTTTTTACACCTTCTCGTTTGAGCAGTGCCCTTCGTTTTTTGGCAGGGTACATGCGAGGACTGAAACCATCTTCAATCTCTGCATTGGTCATGTCGATATCTTCATCACAGATGTCATCTATGCTGAGGTTATTGGCCTTTTCTGACTCTATTGTACCGTTCATTGTAAACTGTAAAAGAGAAACGTGAAAGTAAGTGCAACCGTAGGAATATGAGATCCATATTAGTACAGCAAAGAAAACAAGGATGACCAGTGAAAGTCCCAATATAAATAAATAAAACTGCACAAAGATCAATGGTGTGTAGCCACTCAAGGCCACTAATCAGATTGGACAGACGAACACTTTTTCTCACTAGTTTCTAGGAGCTGCTGAAATTGGCAGCAGCTGTTGCTCTCTTCATTAGGGTATTAAATCCTTGGCCAATTGTAAAAAAAAACACAACTACAATCATTTACCTCCCAAAAGGGAATTGGAAGCTTTGAAAAAAAGGAAGAAGGAGCTATTGCTATGAAGAGAGCATAGCTGGTCATTTTAGCACGAGTGTGCAAACCAATACAAGCAACCTGCAAGATACCTCTGTGACCTGACCCACCACAGATTGGGGTTGATTTACTTAAACTGGAGAGTGCAAAATCTGGTGCAGCTGTGCATTTCAGGTTATACTGTCAAAGCTTAATTAACAAGCTGATTGACTACCATACACAGCTGCACCAGATTTTGCATTCTCCAGTTTTAGTCCTCATGCACACTGGACGTTTTTACGGCTGCTGTTTTTTGGCTTGACGTTTTTTCCTAAAGCCAGTAAACTCCCATGTCCATGCACAGACTAATCAGCATTGTTTTTTGGCAGGGGTGTTTTTTTTTTTGGCTGTAAAAAAACCCAGGACTAGTGGGTTTCTATGAGTTTTTTAGCTGTAAAAACAGTCTAATGCTGAAACACAGCAAACCGGTGTTTTTGGACTTTTTTGAGCAAAAAAATAATTTTTGATAAACAAAACCCGCCTAAAAAAAACATGACTTTACACAGTTAATGTTATCGGCGTTATTAATATGCCCAGTGTGCATGGAGCCTCAGAGATTCAACCCCATTGTGTGTCAGAAATACATCCAAACCCCCCCCCCCTCCCCATCTGGAGTATATGTGCAGGGAAATATTGGTTCATCAAAACTTACCATATTTTTTAATGCCATCAGCTTCTCTTCTTTTAAGCGCTCCTTTAATTTCTCCCTGCGTCGGGTCAACTGTTCCCTTGAAAATTCTTCCATAGTAAATTGCCGGCTATAGCTGTGTTTCCGCCGCATGCCCAGAGTGCAAACCACCCCGGCTCGGCACACTCGTAAAACCCTTGGCATCGCTGGAAGTAGAACACGACCACCCGGTCAAAATGTACTTTGTTCTTCTTTGCAAGTTTTGCTTTCTTTAAAATGGATACAGCTGTAGAGAGAACAGAAATATATAAATATTATATACAAGAGATATATATATATATTTATTTATATTTATTAGATGCATAGTTCTAATAAGCATGTGACAGTTTACATGAAAAAAAAAAAAAAAAATACACCAGTAGCGCAGATTAAAGTTGAACCGCCAATTGGCAAATAGTATGACTTTTAACTACATTATGCGAACAGAACTTTGAAAAAGGAAGTTCACACTATTTTTTAAATTCAGATCCTTCCACAGATAACTACATCTCTTACAACCACTTTTTTTTATTTTTTTTTTTGCTACTGCTTATTTGCCCAAAATAATCACTGAAGTTGTGTCTCACCTACCTAATCTATTCAGCTTGAAAAGGATGGTTGTCAGAGCACTTGTTACCCACTCCCTTGTTCACTACAAAGGATCTTGGCAGACAGCCAGTCCTAGTGTTTGCAGCTCCCAGTTAACTGGTGTCGCAGTGAACTGATCATTTCAAATCTTGTTTTCATAATGAGAGCAGAGAGCCTGCCAGTCATCAGATGTGCGCTAGTTGGCTCATATCAGACAAACACTGATGGCTTTAGGTGGAATAGCCTTTTATCCTGTTTCATGACAGGTCCTATATTTGGTCATTTTCCAGATGCTGACTGCTGGCTGGCAAGGCATGCTGGAACAAAGTAGCTGAAGCATTCTGGTTTTAAAGAGTATCTCAACTCTAAACCAAACAATGTAAGCAAGCGCACAGCAGAAACAATACATTCCCTTTACAACTGTCTGCTCTTTAAAAGAATTGTTGCAATATATATATATATAGTCATTTGGAGAGCCACCCTCTGGTCCTGCTGTATTTGGCCATACAACCTCTCCACTAGACAGGCAGAAGGAAGCTCAAAACATCAGGTTTCCTTACTATCTTTACTTTTTAGTTTGGAGGAAAGAAAAAAAGAATGCAAAAATACACACAAGAAATCTAGTGCATGCAACTGTGAAATCATGGTGGAAGGACAATAAACACAAGAGTATCAGGACGGCTGACAGCAAAATGTGCAAAAACCCATTCAGAAAACTCAGATTTCACCAGATCTAGTTCCTATGGGTTACTGCACCCTGCACACAGTTGCTCTTAGCAATAAAGGCTTACTAACAAGGCAATGGCCAATATGAAATGTAATACAAGCTCTACCCATTCAACTTTTCCAGGCTGACCAATGGAAAGTGGCTAATGTCAGGGGATTATGAAAAACTTTTAGAGAGCACTCTACAGTAATGAGCATGACTTGTGTGTTCCGGGATTATATATTATACTCTAGAATCCAAAGGGGGAAAGCGCTCTGTGTGTTTACTCAGGTGCTGAAGAGTTGACATCTTTACTGCTGCAGTTACGGAAACTATGCAGATTATTTAAAGACCAGTTTACAATCATACTGCACAGCAGCTGGGATGCAAGAGGTTAGCCGACTCCAGAAAACCAGCCTGATTTGCCAGCAGATTTTGTTCGAATGGGAGCACAAATACAGGACTGGCTTATCAGCTACATGCAAATGACTTTCCAAGGCTGGGCATTTAAACATGAAGTCCAACAAGGCACTTTAGGAGTCTGCTTTAAGCATTTTAATGTAAAGTTACTAATGAAGACACATGACGAGTTTCTAGAAGTTAAAACTAGCTCATCAATACCGGTTTATGAAAAAGGAAAAAAAATACCAAAACAACAACAGTTGGTGGAGAGAGTGCTGCCATTTTCGACAGCAGTGGTCTCCAAACTGTGGCCGGGGGCCGGTTGCAGCCCTTTGATTGCCTTTATATGGCCCTTGGGGCACTATTCCTCCCACTGATATGAGACACCATTTCTTCCACTAACACCAACATTGGGACATATTTTCTCCCACTGATATAAAACTACAGAACACTATTACTAACACAAAAGATGAAAAGTGCACTTTTCCTCCCACTGGTACCATCATTGGGGAATGGTTCCTACCACTGACAACAATGAGGCATAATTCCATCCACCGATATAAAAATATAGAGCACTATTGCTCCCACTAACAATAATATGGGGCAGCACTTTTCTTCCCACTGATACCATTGATGGTGCACTACTGCCACTGACACCAATGCTGGAGAACTAGTCCTTCCCTGACACCAATGTTGTTGCACCAGTCCTTCCACTGACACCAGTATTGGGGCAAATTTTCTCTTTCATTGATACCAGTGTTGGGGAACCATTCCTTTCACTGACACCTACGTTGGGGCACTATTCCTCTCACTGACAATAATAGGGCGCCATTCCTTCTACTGACAATGATTGGGCACTATTTCTGCTGCATTTTTCACTCCCACTGGTAACAGTCTGGCCCCCTAAAGTCAGAAAACCAAAAAAGCCAGTTTTATTGAAATTTGGCCCCTGCTGAACTGTCCAAATTTTGAGCCATCTAAACCCAGCTCGAGAAGGAAACAAAAATCCTTACCAATTACCAAAGGTGATCTCCAAGCATGACAAAAAAAAAAATTTACCCCCCCAAGGCTCTCTCCCTCTGGAGCATGTCCCTGCATTAATTTTCCCGCCACCCCCCAGCACCAACCCGCCGCCCCCCCTCCTCTTTTTTTACTTGTAGTGATAAGCTAGTTTATTACTCCTGGTGATATCACCAATAGGCTTGTAAAAAGGTGTCTAGTTTATTTCTTAATCAGGTAAGCACCCTCACAGAACGACAACCCCCAAGAGCCCTTTGCTACACATTTTATTGGCAGGCTCATGGGGAGCTGAAGGTGGCATCAGGAAAGAAATCTCTGTATGCATGCATGCACACACTGACAATACTGGCACTACTGGCTGCAAAGCAAGAGACAGCTTAGGAAGGAATGTGCTCTGTAGTCTAGGAGGAGAGAAGTGCGCACGTCTGACCATGCTGCTTGGGAATCAGTACAGCAGAAGCAGTGATAGCATTTTTTTTTAAGCTATTACCATGGTTTGGCTCTTCAAAAACACTGCAATGCACACATAAATTGCAGAAGTACCATATACGTTTTCTCTTTCTAAACCAGAATTTAAAAAAGCCTTCAGCAACTAAACCCCATCTACTTACGGGTATAATCCCTAATGATCGGCCTTGGACTGTAGCTGTATTCGTCATCAGATTCCCCTCCTGAAGAGGTGGCAGATGAGGATGGAGATGATGAAGACGAGGAGGAGTATGTGGAATAGTCTTCCAGGGCCTCATACTTGCGTTTTAGTAACCCGCTCATGGCTGATGATTTCACAGACCTTTTAAAATTAAAAAGAAAATTTTTTAAAATTTTTTTTCAGTTTTAAAACCATAAAATAACTACTAATAATCATCATCAACATTTTACACACACAAACACGTAAATGCATTCCTGTAACATAGGAAACAAAGATAAAGCTAGACTGTAATAATGCGGCAACTGCTTCCTGTCACTTCCATTCAGCTCCAGCGAGCTCATTTAGTGACAGGAGGAAAAGGAAGAAAAATAAAAAATAAAAAAAAAATTTGCCTGGTTCTTTAGAGAACACTTTTTGCATGCTGTATGTCCCCAGGGAAGCACACGGGAGGGGGCATAGGACCTTACTAAAAAAAAATGCTGAACACAGATATATTAATAGCAAAAAAAAATTGCTCCACCCGGTTTTTTTTTTTTTTTTTTTTTTTGCTGCCTGAAGATGTATCAATGAAAGTGGGTCTCTAGCAAGGACATTTTATGCCTCCGATCTAATTATGTCCTAGTGCTGCCTCTCTTGTCTACATGGATATCTGCCGTCACAAGGACAAAGTAACCTCTTAAAAAAAAGAAAGCTGCTTCTTAAAGAAAAAAAAAAAATAAAAACAAAAAAAAAAACAAAGATACATACACACAAACACAGGAGGGAGCTAGCACAGACATCACGGCACAAGCATTATTTGGAAAGATGACTCAGGGTGACTCAGTGATCTGCCCGTGTTTATCAATCGACGTGACAACAGCCGGGGTATTGTGATGAGCAAGAGTCCAGAAACTTTTACTGCTCTGCTAGTAAGCGTGTTGACGTCAGTGTGGAATGTGTGTGGTGACGAAGAGGGCTGAGCTCACAAATTACATGGAAGATAGGGGGCTGTGAATGACATCAGGTTTCCTTTCTTTAGAGAACAGAAGTATCAGGATTGTTAGAGAATAATGTTTGGTACTGCAGCTCTCTTCATGACGTGGATTGAAGATGTTAACCCTGACACAGCAACTGCCATCTACAATAGTCTACTTGGCATCCAATTATAATCAAAAGTAAAAAAAAAAAAAAAAAAAAAAAAAAAAGTATGTACTACATATACCTGCAAGGTTAACCATTTCATGCAAGCTTTGCGTTATAAAAATATAAATCGCTGCTTAACCCCAATGATTTCAGAAGTCAAGTGACAATAGTGATGGTTACAGGTGGCTTCAGAATTCAGCAGATGCCTTTTGACCTGCAACTCTCGTTGCTAGCTGGAAGGATTACATCAGACAGACCACTGCCCCACCTAGGCATTGTAAAGGCAGCGCTATATACAAACATTGATATTCAGACTGCCCAGTCCAATGGACATATGGCTACTCAATAGTCACTCAGATGAAGATAACCCAAGACAGTGAAGGAAGTCACACAACTACTTCTATTGCCCCAAGAGATGTAGACCTACTTGTATGTCAATTTTTCCCCATCAGCAACGTCCAGATGGTGGGCCAATCATCCTTTCACATTACACAAGTTTGCTAGATATTGCATGCCTATTGAGCTCTCCAGAGTGGTAAGCTAGCTTATTTCTGCTGGATCGAAGAATAGGAGCTGCAAAATCATTTTGTGATGTTGTATTGAACTGTATTGTTGCTGTATTGTCTCCCACTATAATGTAAAGCACTGAGCAAACCGCTGGTGCTATATAAATCCTGTATAATAATAATAATAATAACAATAATAGTGTCAGACTGGTCTTCACTAACCATATTTGGTCTATAGCTGGTCACGTGACAATTTCAGAATATCTTGGCTCATGCATCAATTTTGGCCCTATAGCCATATGCAATTATTCATCCAATACTATAAGTTCCCGAGTAACAGAATAAAACACAGTACATGATCCGATCGTTTCCTAATTGCCCAACTGTCTGGTAACCCATCTCTTAAAATAAATATCAGATCCTATGAACAAGTTTTTTACTTTTTTTTTTAATGCTTTTGCAGATGTGGAGTAGTTGCTGAAATTTGTATAATATTTATTGCCATAAGTAGCTTGGAACTGTTCCCCCCCAAGCATAGAAACATAAGCATACTAGCGGATCATCAGTTGACTTTCTCCAAAAATACCATCCTTATCTTTTAGAACTGGTCAAATCCAGGGGACACGTCCTCCTGTCCCCTTGTGTAACCACTTTACAATCCAAAGACACCTGAAATAGATTTTTTTTTGTCTATTGCAGGTCTGATGGTTGGAGACATCAAGCACAATATTTAATGCTAAAGAGGGGGTTGCAAATAACATCAGCATCAGCAAACGGAAACTTTAACCAAACCAAAAGCACCGGGCAGGTGATTAAATCTGAATTAGTGCTATATTTGTAGAGTGGGGAAACAGTAAGCTGGTTAATTATTTACAAGTGTGTTATGCGAGACTTGCAATGGCCCTGATGTCTCATTTAATGTACAGCAAGAAGACACTGGCTCAGCTCTGAGGTTTCAGATATTTCCTAATGACAATGCACATTATGGAGTCACTAGGAAAAAAAAGAATAAAGACATCTATAGTGCCAACTGGTTTGATGGAAATGCCAACATGGGATACCACTGAGAACATTTGACAGTTTCATGGGCAGCTCATAAAACAAGTTTCTCATTAGCTGCTTTGGGCTACACTACTAAGTACTGTAGTAATGCAGGTAGGCTTCAGATTTATATTGGTCATGTGCAAAGAGTAGTAAACTATAGGAAGCACCTGCAGATTTCAATCAGATCAGTGAAAGAGGAATTCTTGTTGTGCCAGGAATTCCTGAATTACATAGGAGCCTCATTATTTAATAAGAAAAAAACGAGCACAATTTATCAACAGTGGCCAGATAGTTTGCACATTTTTAAAACCTAAACCTATTAGTTTCTAGGGTTTACTGTGCTTTTCATTAGGTCACACCACCTGCCTTTTGAACTTGCCGAAAATACTATAGGTACAGAAGGACATTTCTTGCAATTTTGTAGGCTAAACCAACATGCAACCTCTCTTTGTAGGCTACATAGTTGACAAAAATGGCACTAACCCTAAAAAAAAAAAAAAAAAAAAAAAAAAAAGTAGTACAAAAAAGTATAAAATGAATAAAAATCACTAGCAGGCTTCAGTGGATCTTTTTAATGTATTCAAAGATATTTTCACCGGCTGTCATCTTCTTGCAGCCATTGGCCAATGCCTCAGTAGCATACCAAGCAGACCTGTGGTAAGGAAAACCCTTTAAAAAACACACCCACCACCCCGCTCTGCAGAAAAATCTCTCCTGTTGACACAGGCCAAGGTTCAAGAGTTCATACACAGCAATTTATAGATCAGCGTGTTTTTACTGCACAAGCCAGCATATGTACTAAAAAGGAGGGATCTGACTGCCTCTAGGCCGCTATTACAGTATGTAAAAGGTGCCATAAAACCTGACCTGACTACCACAGGGAACAAACACACCAATTTACCTTGAAACACACAAAACAAGGTAATTCCCCCCCCCGCATCTATTTACCACTGTATGTTCCTGGGTTTCCAAGGTCTACCCAACACAATGTTTGTAAACAAGTGGCTAAGTGTTTCAGCCAAGCGTGCAGTACTCAACCTAGCAATAAAAAGTACACATGCAAATTTGACTAAGCACACGAATGTACACAAAATGTACGTCATGCCCCCCCCCCCCCCCCCCCCCCCCAAAAAAAAAGATTTTTTTTTGAAAAGCAAAAAAAAAAAAATATGCTAATTATAATGTATATAAAAATATAAAAGCAAAAAAAATAAAAAATTCTCCCCTACAGCAGCTGGTGGTTCTGTTCCCCCCGGACAGACAGCAAGCACTCATCAAATCTACAGGGTGGCCTTCCCTCTTTACACAGAACCTTAGCCAGGACACTTAACAGCTGGACCAACAATGGCTAAATCTTCCCACTCCGGTGGAATGCAACCTGTCCCACCTCAGCATTCTGTACACAATCTGCATGCTCTGTACCAGCACTCTTTATTACAGTGTCTCCTACCATTTTAATGTATACATTAAAAAAAATCACCACTACACAAATATTACCCTGCATGAATCAGGTCACTGCTACTGACCTTACAAATTCCCCACACATATAATAGGAGCGGTGTGGCTTTCTGATGTTTCTGATGTTATGCCGCAATTGTTTCCCACTGAATTATGTATGGTAAATTGTTGCCAGATGTTTTATGAAGTGGCTCTAGACTGCACTAGAAAAGACACACTGTTAAGCCGCTTTGCTCACGGGGCCGCTACAAAGTGAACACAGCGAGAAATTATCAGAGAGAGCCAGTGGCCAAGTGTCACCCGAGCTTTGAATGAAGGGGTCGCTTGAGGACGTTGGGGCCTAAAGTAACTGCCACTTCAGCTTCTATTTTAGAAAAAACACCTGATGTCTTTCAAGGGCAGCATTGTTTCAGTGTCAGATTAGAAGATTACAGCACTGCTTGATATTGGACTTCTTGCATGTGTAAAAGTCCAAGTATAATTTTACACTAACAGTTTCATAGAATAAAAAAGGAAAAAAAATGATAAAGTAATATCTTGTGGCCATACAGTAGGACATGAGGCAGTTTTATTGCTCAGACCCATGTTCCTAAACCATCCTGATAAATGTATCGGATGTACAATGTAACTGTTGTTCAGGCTGCCTGATACTGTACTATGCAACAATATTTTAAATAAAATGCACTGCATTTCACCTGCATAATAATGTTTACTATGCCACTCTATGTATAACTTTCTCAATAATTCTTAGAGAGTGTCATGATTGTCGAGATCCAATAGAAGGAGTGCGCTTCCTAATAATTAGTCCTCATGCACACTGGACGTTTTGATAACGTCGGTAATGTTAGCGGTGTCAAGTCACGTTAAAAACTTGAGTTTTTCAGCATTAGTGTCTAGCTGCGTTTTCTTGACCAAGAAAAAAAAACAAACATTTTTTTGGTCAAAAAACCATCCAAAAACACCAGTTTGCTGCGTTTTTCAGCATTTTTCCA